TCCGCTCCCCTCTCCTCCCCTTCACACTCTGCCTCTTCCCCATGACGCCTCTCCCTCAGTCGGCTCCCCCGGGCCTCCTAAGCAGCCGTCAGCTCCAGGGCAGTGGCCAGGGGGACGGCGGCCCAGGGGCCCGTTCGGGAACAGTGTTGGTGGGCACAGCCCAGAGCGCACCGCGGGAGTGTCCCCTCCGGGTGGGGGGCCGTGCTGCCCTGGCTGGAATCTGCCGGTCAGCCCCCTCCTGGGAGCCGCCCCAGGGGCCAGTGTCACCCGAGTCTCTGGGGTACCGGGAGGGACTGTCCCCTTCCGTCGTGTTCCCCAGATGCTCCCAAGTTCCCGCTGGGCCGTGGCCACAGAGCCAGAGCCCGCGGTATGTCTTGGTGGCCGGGTTGAGCGGACGGTACGTGGAGTCTTTCAGGCTTGAGCGTTTCAGATTTCAGCACGTTGGCTTTACTATACGAAGTTTTAAAATGCTCTCCAGCGGCCAGAGACTTGGTCCGGAGGCCTGTCTCCTTGGCTTGGAGAGGCGGGTCCTCATTTGAAAAGTAGACACCTCGGCTGCCGGCATTTGAGGCTCTGGCTTCAGCCCCACGGGCTCGGGGACGCCTGAAAGCCCTCGAACCTCCCCACGGCCCTGGAGCCTTCCCTTCCTGAGGACCCCAGAGGACAGGGACCCTGACGTGCCTCCGAGGCTGCGTTCCGGGAGGATTCCCCGCAGGGACAGTGGCTGGCGCTGTGTGGGGCTCCCGGGTGGCCCCTCCACTCACGGGACGTCCTCGCTGCTCAAGCAGAGCCGGTTCCTTCAGCCAGGAGGGCGGTGCACCTGGCACATGCTGGCCCCCGTGGGCTGGCCGTGAGCGGAGTCCCTGCCGCCTGCCCGGTGGCCGAGTGAGGAGGTGCCCGGGCCCCAAGGGTCTCCACTCCCTCCCATTAGAGCCTGGCAGCCCGCTGGCTGGTCCCGCCGAGCCCCCTCGAGGGACCGGCTGCCCGCTGGGCGGCTGCCTGTGGGTCCCCGCCGCCCCCGTGGGGACGCAGGCCCTGGCTCCTGACCGCCCGTGTCCCGCTCAGGACTGGGC